CACGCACGCACGCACGCACGCACGCACGCACGCACGCACGCACGCACACACACACACACACACACACACACACACACACACACACACACACACACACACACACACATTTTATTTGCGGCATTGTAAAATGTAACTATTACTAAGCTTATTACAGATATTTGTTTTCTGTTTTCAAATATAATTTTTCTCTTATCAATTATTGGGCTCAGTAATTGTATTGCATCATTGTGTTATTACTTGTGTAAATTCAGTACTTGTATTTGTTTTTCTTTTTCAAACAAACATATCCAAGACATTTGTTTTATTTCCAATATGTGGCAATCGCAAAAACCTAAGAGCTGGATACACTATTAATGTTTTTATTTTTCAGATACTTCTTCATCATATATTTTGGAGTATGTTAAGTGGGATCAGTTATACTTTACTTATGATGATTCTTTGTGGTTTAGAATACCCCTAAATACCATGTTCATATTGGTGGAGTGGCCACAAAATTATGGATTAAATGAGTAAAGAAAAATATTTTTCTCTTTCCGCATAATACCCAAAAAAAGTATAAAGTTTTGTAAACCCACATGTGAAAATCATAAAAATAATACACTACATGAAACAAATACCGTATAATGTGAAATTTTATAATCACTCAAGGACTAAGCGATTAATTGCGTACTTAGAATGTTCAAACCTCTCTCATGAAAAGTCGTAATTGCGCAAATGTGGCCTGGGGTAATTGGCCAAGCGAGATTCGACTATACTAATAGTTTTTTTTTATTTTCATTCACTCTTAGCCCTAACAAGTATTAGAGAAAACACACAATTTATTCGTAAAGCCCATATGTATATATAATATCGAAAACCGCGAGGTCGGAGCGCGACTGGAGGGACAAAAAAACTTAAACCGCTGGGTATAATCTCAAAAATTGCGTTATACATATAATATTTTATCTCATCGCCGTAATATTAGGGGTTAAAGTATGAAATTGCCGTTTTATTGTAATAGGTTCTTTGAATTTTCATAGAATCTTCATGGTTTGAGGTTTTCGAATGAAACTTTTTTCAAATGGTTTCTG